CTGCTGTTAACTCCAGTAGTTAGCAGTGGGTGAAGTCAGTTGTTGACGTGTTAAAAACTAAAACGATTCATTTTTGGAAATTCATTCATCTGTAATCTGTCAAGACGACAGGTCCACAGTCTCTTCCAAAACAGTTCCTCCACTTGATGCGATCTAGAGCTTTCTCCTTCAAAATGAAAATATCGTCTTCTGTCCCCAAGGTCATTCAGCATCTTCTTACGTCTTCCTCCTCGTCTTCTGGTCACTTCTATCCGCCTCTCTATCTTTCCTTCAGTAACTTCTTTTAGAAGGCAGTTACCGCGTAAGATATGACCAATCCAATTAGCCTTCCGTTTTCTTATTTCGTGTTTTGGAAATATATAAGTTTAAAAAGGAAAGACAGCAGTTTTATTCAGTTAAAAGTTTATTATGTTATTATGTATTCTAACAAAAAAATTTCTTTTACAAATCCCTTTAATTCCACTTGAACGCATCATGTTCTACATTTACACCCTCTAATTTTCTAAATTATAACTTTTTACCTGCAGCTCTTACTTCTACTGCCGAAAATAGTGGAAATCTGAAGCCCCTTAACCTTCAGAGTGGGTGGTTGCTGATGGAATAACATACGTTATAATTAAGGGATGTTCTCATGTTTTTGTTACGTTACTGACCTGTATTCTGTTATCAGTATAACTAGTGAGATATTTCCATCCTTGAGGAAATAGCCTGTTGTAACAATTTTTAAAATCTAACAACAGTATACCCAATTGTTTACATCACAGGTTTTCCAGAATCTTTGATTTATTGTCTTTGATCATTTACATTATTTTCCTAAGCACAAGCGCTTAGCCCTTCACAGCATGAGTTTGAAAATATACATTCGTTCCACCTTGAACAATCTGGCTGTCTACGTTTACATTCCTTTACACTCTGTTAGTAGTCAAGGACAATCTTATTCTGTCTGTTTTGATTTCTGTAATGGTTTGTTGTTCTCACTCTCTGCTTCTTTGCAAGCTTAGCAATTTTGAACTATCCTCTAGTATCATGCCTACTTATTCGCGAGACAGGCCTCTGTTTGTATCTCAGGGTGCCTTTCTTCTTATAGGAATATTATGAAGTCTTATGTTCCACAAGGCTCCACTTCTTAATATTTTCATTTCCATTTATTAGCCTACTTACCTTATTTTGAGAATGTTATTGTTGTCTGAGTGTCCCCCTCTATCAGCTTTGAATGCCTGAGCTATTCCTTATGAAATTTGATATGTATGCCTATATCATGGCACCTGATCCCATCTTAATGGCATACTTCATAAAACCTCAGACCAGTCTGTGTCTCTGTAAGTATCCCCCTATCGTTGCTAGGCAACTGCTCGATAAATACCTTTCCGCGGCAACGAATACGCGGAGCAACAGAAGACTTTCGTACGGCCCATGTCGTGTCAGAGGAGAGTCTGTGGGTCTGTGCGTCTCTCTCTATCGTTGCTGGGCAGCGGATGGGTAAACACGTTCTCTTGGCGACGAAGTATTGTTGGAGGTGTCTTTTTTATGCGATCCATATCGTATCAAAGGCAAGCAGGTGATTCGTTATTCCCAGAACTTCTTGTTATTCCTAATATCTCTTTTTCAGGGTTGACTTGAATATGTCTCATAATATTAAATACCCTGGGGTCTGTTGTCTTTTGCAGTACAATAATATATTTTGTTCGGATATGTAGTTGACATAATGGCATGACATTTAATATCGGGAAAACTGCGATTATATCTTTTGCTCATAAAACTAACAGTACTGAAATTAATGACAAATTGAATATGATCAGCAATCAAGAAGCTTTTTCTTGGTGAGTTAGTGATCTCAGAATTTTATTGGATTATAAGCTTCACTTTCACAGCCATGTTGATTACTGTTTTCTAAAAACTTTAAAAATGGCTGTTCATCACATTGAATTTTCCATGTCGATCCTTCAGAGTTTTATGACTTTGTATAATCCGTGGTGTCTATACTTGAGTACCCTTCTGTCACTGATTAAACTGATCTCTACATAATCGAAAGAAAATTTGCAGCCTTGTGCTGTAGCCGATATTTGTTGGCACCTGTGATACTGTAAATGTGCTATGTTAATTAGGTTGAATCTCTTAACTCTTCCTTACAGTCAGCGGTAGTTCGATGCTCGACTTAACTTTGTTTCTCATCCTTCTTCCATACTGATAGTTTACTACTGGGTTGAGGTAAGGTAAAAGGTAAATTTGTCCCCGTACATAACTAATTAAGCACTACTCTTATGGGGAAGTAGATGTATACATCCATATTTTCTTCGTCTCGGCACTACTTGGAGTTGAGTGGTCAGCTTCACGTCCAGGCCGCTTTACCCCCCTAGAAAGAGCCCTCGGTACCCATTGTATAGGAGGTTGGGTGGACCCCAGGGCCAGTCTGGGCGACGGGGAGAAAAGACAATTTTTGACCCTGTCGGGACTCGAACTCTGGCCCTTCGGTCTTCCACCCCGTAGCCAGTCGCTATACCGACTACGCTATCCCTGACCCTACTGCTGGGTTAATCAGAGACTATTCAAATTGCAGTGTTCAGCCTCTCGCAAAGATTAATCCCCCAGCCATTATATCTCTGTCGCTAGTAGAGTCCACAGGTACGAGTATGTGGATATTTGTAACTGCGAGTGCATTTCCTAAACTTACATTATCAAATCTATTAATAAAGCGTGTAAAATATGTAACATCTGTTCTTTCAGGCTCTGACTTTTCTATATCGTTTAGTTTCTAGTAAAGTTGTCCCTGTGCTTAACTAATTAAGCACTACACCATGAAGGCGTATAGGGGAGTGGATGTATAGATCACATTTTCTTGAACTCGGCACTAGCTGGAGGTGAGTGGTTAGCTTCACGCCTCTGCCGCTTTACCCTCGGGGAAAGAGCCCCCGTACCCATTAGATAGGAGTTTGGTTGGAGCCCAGAGCCAGTCTGGAAAACTTGGAGAAGAGGAAAGTCTTGCCACCACCGGGACTCGAACTCCGACCCCTCGGTCGTCCAGCCCATAGCCAGTCGCTAAACCGACTGATCTATCCCGGCTCTGTTTACTTTCTAGTATCTTTTCATTTGTAATTATGCTTTAGTCCTTTTTCATTATGTTCTACTTTCCTGTACACTCCTAGCTATTGTCAAACACAGTAATAACTTAATTGAATTATTATTTTTATTGTTATTTTTCATATAACATGAATTGAATTTTTTGTATTTTCTCTTCTTTTACTCTTGCTCACTTTGTAATTTGCCTTTGGGCTATTTAAGTTAGCATGTAAATAAACAATAATTTNAAAAATGAAACCCAAACTATAAGTCAATACGTTTAACATCAGTTCTTTAACAGTAATCTTTAATTAACTGGGTTAATGGGTAATTGCCTCAGTTTGTTGCATTATGTCAAATTTTGCTTCTCCTGCATCTACTATGCAGTAGAATCTCTTATATGTACTCATACATAATTATCCTACCTGCGTTTGTCGTATTCTTTTACCCTTGAGTTGTATGATTGTGCTGGCCCTGTAATTGTCACCTGTAGTTGTCGAGTTAACACTTAAAAATAAAGACTTGAATTATTATTATTATTATTCAGATTTTATAGTGATAATTTCTTACTTATTAAAGTATTAATTTTTTTTCTTCCTCTCGCTCCCGCTTTGGAGCTTAGGGCTGATTTCTCGATTTCATTGATCATTTTTATAGACGGTAGGATTCCTTGGACGGGTGATCAGCTCGTCGCAAGGCCTCTACCTGAACACAGGACAACACAAACACAGAATAAACGCATACACACACCAAACATCCGTGCGTTGTTTAGGATTCGAACCCACGATCCCGGTTTCCTAGCGAACGAAGACAATACATGTCTTAGATCGCTCGGCTACCGCGACCGGCGTATTAATTGTACTCAGTATGAAATTATATATATGTATATGTATTTTCTCTCAATGCTTGCTGCGCCTTAGCCTCAAATGAAATCAGTAACAACGTCAATATATTTGGCAATCCTTTCCTTAAAATTAACAGTTGCATTAATTTAGTTATTCAGTAGCTGCCTTTTTTGTTAACGTTGAACATTATTACACGTCGTGCGAGAGAGATATGGTCGAGTGATTTAGATTGGTTCATCTAACTCAGTATAAAGGTTTATTAATAGATATCTATCCTTCCCCTGCTACCACTCTGTAGTAGAGTGTCTATGTTTTTGTATTTGCCCTCCATGCATGCATTTTCCTCTACTTTGTATCAGCTTGTGCTAGCACTGTAATTGGCCTCTGTATCTATTGAATTAGCATGTAAGAATGAATAGTTGAATTATTAGTATTATTTGTCTTTGACATTATATTGTGTTTGTCTATATTGTAATTACTTTTATCTGTCTGTAATTGGCCTTGCGGCTGTTGACTCGGCACATAAATAATAAAAGAATTTAATTGAATTATTAGTATTAGAAGCCTGGATAGCGCAGTCGGTATAGAGACTGGCTACGGGCTGGACGACCGAGGGGTCGGAGTTCGAGTCCCAGTGGGGCCAACAATTTTCTCTTCTCCAAGTCTTCCAGACTTGCTCTGGGGTCCACCCAACCTCCTATCCAATGGGTACCGGGGATAAAGCAGCAGGGTCGTGAAGCTGACCACTCACCTCCAAATAGTGCCTAGGACAAGGAAATGTGGATCTATACATCCACTCCCCCAGACACCTTCATGAAGTAGTGCTTAATTTGTTAAGCACAGGGACAACTTTACCTTTTACCTTTGTTATTATTATCATTATTATTATTATTATTAGTAGTAGTAGTAGTAGTAGTAGTAGTACTAGCCGCAGCGGCGTTTCAATGGATTAACATAAAGAGTATTGAAATAATTGTGAGAGAACCGCAATATTGACCACACTGGACGAATCCCTCGTATTCTGGATTTTACATAAATTTTGTAAGCACCTAAACACTGTGTTCTGACTTAGTATTGCCTTGTTCTTTGTTCCAGCAGAGCTGAAGCCACTGTCATGGCAAGCACGTCCTATCTGCCATAGTAATTACGATGGCTGCTCTGTCAAGGAGACTTGCTCGCCCGAGGCGGGAAAACAGTGATTCATCCACCTTGCATGTATTGACTACTTCAGCAAGGTATGTTCCTTCCTTACAGTTCTGATATTCTTAACAAATCCTCCGAATAATTTAAGGTCCTCAATACAGTCCTGAACAAGGTCGTTTCTGCAGTCCATTTGTCTATTATTCTGCTGCCAAACGGGACGATTTTAATGCCAGAAATGGAGATACAGAGAATTATTTGAAAGTGATACGGCACTCTCATTTCGTCATATTTATGCGCCGTTCAAGTGTTATACCTAGTTACTCTCTTCCAGTATAACTGTCAAATGTGCTCCATTCGTAACACTTATTTCCGACTAATAAGTCTACATAGAAGATACTTTATTAATGATAATTATAATGGTGTTATAGACGAAGGTCTTAATTATTCAGTGCTCAATCATCCTGTTATATGACTCATAAAATTATGAAAACGTAAGCATATAGCATGGCACGTGGTTGTTACGGCATCTCGTTCCTCTTAAGGAGTTTCGATTTTAGTGCATGCGCTTTCAAGTAGACGTAAACATATTCCTTTTAAGAAAGCAGTCTTCTGGGATGTGGCACCGTGTAGATGTGGTGTTAATCGACTTGTCGGAGGAACGTATCGCCTCCATCTTCAGGGTGGAAGGAAAAATAAGAAAATCCGCAAGCGAAAGGACAGTGAGAACCGGTGCAAGCAGTCTGCTTGCACCGGTGCCACATCCCAGAAGACTGCTTTCTTCATAGTCACCGCCGCGAAAACCTCAAATCTTACATATTCCTTTTAGTTTGTCGACGAAATTTCTATAGGCCTGGTTACAAATTGTAGCAACAAGCAACTGTAAAACCCCGTAGGGCAAACGTAGCTTATGATGGACAGTAGGCCTGTGAGTGTAATTGGTCGAGGCACTATGCTACAAGCCGGAAGGTGGCGGGTTCTATTCCCGATGAGGTAATTGGATTTCTAGTTCACCTAACCCTTCCAGCCGCATTATGGTCCTGGTTTCGACTCGACCTCCAACAGAAATGAATGCCAGGAATCTTCCTGAGGGTAAAGGGTGGCCGGGGCGCATAAGGCTGACAGCCTCACTGCCATCTATGTGCCGATTGTCTAGAAAATGTGGGAGCCTCGACGTCTCACAACCCTATGGGCCGCCACGGCCTGTTACAGGGATAGCTTTAAAACATACATTGCAAACATTGCTTAAAGATCTCACATTATTAATTGGTTCAGAATCATTGTCTTAGTCTTGTATAGAACAAATTAGCCAACATTAAATATTTTCCTTGTTTCGATTAATATGAAGAAATCACCGGTGCCATTATTTACCAGACTTTCGTGGTATGCCGTTTCTCTCTCATATCTGTTGAGCCATTAACTGCCTATCCAGTTGCATGGATTATCAAGTTTATCCGTTAGAAGCAGCTGGGAGATGGCGCAACCCTCTTCCCGTCACCTCCCTTCCTTTTTCAGCAACTGTTCACCCAGCTCTGTTGCCAAATGCTCTCTATAATTACTTACTTAATCCGTTCCTCTTGTAGTACCTTACCGTGTCGAGGTTGATTTTTGTATTTTTGATCATTTTACAGACGGTAGAACTCCTTGGACGCGTGATCAGCTCGTCGCAAGGCCTCTACCTACACAAAGACAGAATAAACACATACACATACCAAGCAACCATGCCTTGCGTGGCATTCGAACCCACGATCCCGGCTTCCGAGCGGGCGAAGACAATACATGCCTTAAACCGCTCGGCTACCGTGATCGGCTCTCTTTATAATCCATCAAAATAATTCCGACTGTACTTTACTAGAAATAACCTTTCACTGAAGTTTGATCAGAAATATATCTTATATTCGTACAGTTCTGGTAGGCTTAGGCATATCTTCTCAACTGAACCAATGTATGAATGATGAAATACAGAATTAGAGAATTCGTTTCGGAAATCGACATTATATCTGAATTTTCGTTAAATTGGATTCGAGCTCGGGCTTTACCGAACACTGAGCTTCTGCTCATAGAAAATACGCCGGGTCCTCACTTAATCAGTACAATGATATTGGTAATTTAATGCAGGTTACCTTCTCTGTGGCAATGGCTGTAGAGCACTATAAATTTATAAGGAGATGTATTGAAATGTGTATCAAGGAAAATGATGTAAAATAGTGTTCAGATTATTTTATATGTCATAACATCTTAATTTATAAGAATCAGATCCATTTATAAGAATTTAATAGAATAAAACAACTTTACGACGCTGACCTATTTGTTTTCAAATGACAAGGGCACATGACAGTCATTGGTGGTGGTAGTGATGTAGTGTTATAAGTAATACGAGGGCAAATCGAAAAGTCTTTGCTCCTATTTCTTTTTAGCCACAATAATACACATACAGGAAAATCAAAATACAGGTAGTGTTCTAAGTACCTTTGACTATTTTTCCACATAGTCACCCGGTTCAGGCATTCGTCCTATCGCACCACTAGTTTGGAGATGCCGCTGTCGTAGAATTCGGCCGGTTGAACGCGGAACCGCCGCCGGACAGCGGTTTTCGCATCGTCGTCGGAAATGAACCTCTGGCCTGCCAGGAAATTCTTCAGTGGACCGAACACGTGGTAATCACTGGGGGCGAGGTCTGGACTATACGGTGCATGCTCCATAATCTCCCATCCGAATGACTGCAGTTGGTCGGCGGTCCTGTTTGCCACATGAGGCCTGGCGTTGTCCTGGAGGAGAACCACATCGTCCACGACAATCTCCGGGCTCTTTTTCCTGATGACAGCACGCAGACGTGTGAGTGTATCGCAATAGCTGTCCGCGTTGATGGTGGCACCTCGTGGTATGAAATCCATCAGGCGTGGTCCTCGGCGATCCCAGAAGACCGTGACCACCAACTTCCCGACGGATGGCGTTCTGCGGAATTTCTTCGTGACAGGCGAACCGGGATATTTTCACACCATGCTCTGCTGCTTGGATTCTGGAGTGAAATGCAATACCCAAATTTCATCTCCGGTGACAGTGAGATCCAGGAAGATCCACTGAAGAAGTTCCTGGCAGGCCAGAGGTTCATTTCCGACTACGACGCGAAAACCGATGTCCGGCGGTGGTTCCGCGTTCAACCTGCCGAATTCTACAACAGCGGCATCTCCAAACTAGTGGTGCGATGGGACAAATGCCTGAACCTGGGTGGTAACTATGTGGAAAAATAGTCAAAGGTACTTAGAACACTGTCTGTATTTTGATTTCCCTATATGTGTATTATTGTGGCTGAAAAAAAAATAGGGGAAAGACTTTTCGATTTGCCCTCATAGTAATAATAGTAGTAATTTATTTATTACTTACTAAAGTCCTGGTTAGTAAACGAAGGCATTTATTCTCCTGGAGATGATAATTGTAATGATGGTATCTATCTTCTGTCTGTCTTTATTCCTGTTGCTCCCACTTGGAGCACAAGGCATCAGTGAAACGCTCCCTTTGACTTCTTAGACGGTCGGTAGAAATTCTTGGACGGGGGATCAGCCCGTCGCAGTGCCGCTATCTACACAGGACAACACAAACAGAATAAACACAGACAGACAGACATGCATTGAGTGCGACTGGAACGTATGATCCCAGTGTTCTTGCGGGCGAAACAGTTCATGCCTTAGACCGCACGGTTACCATGATTGGCAATGATGGTAAACATGATTAGAAAATAGACAGAACTTTGATTCACAGTGATATGTTGTGAGGTTCTATTGCAAGTACTTTCGTTGTCGATTGTGTATATCTGCAGTTTAGATTTTACCACTAACTATTGTCCATAAAGTGAGAGCTGGTAAGAAGAAGAAAAATATGGATATATAAGTTAGAAAAATCCGCTTTCTTTATTGAAAATATGTAAGTTACATTCAATTTACGAAACAATTTTTACAGATCTCGTCTCTCACAAGGAACAAATATAGAATTTAGAGCTGTCTAAATTAATTTATAGTACATTTAAAAATACTGCAGTTAAGGACAGTAACTTCCCCTGTACCCCTCCACTTCAGACACCAAGGAGTGTAAGTATAGTGACATGGATGAGTAATATTATGTGCAAGTCACGACCTCTGCTTCGAAGCAGAGGGTTGACCTGACAGGTGAATGAAATAGCCTGCAGAAGCAAGGGATGAGCGACTAAGAAGTCACGACTTCAGAGCAATAAACAAGGAATAAGACATATCAACAGTTAGGTGACCTGAACAAGTATTGTTTTGTTATTCTTTTCCTGCCTTGTCGATGAAGATTTTCTGTCTTCTTCGTTTTCTTTTAAATTACTTTTATTTTAGTTTACGGAAACTACAATAAAGAATTAATTGCTTCATATAAAAGTAACCTCCTCAGCACTTACGCAGTGGTATAGTAATTTGCACCTCAGTGCCGTTCTTTTTCTTTGTTAAATACAAGTAAAAAGTAAAGTGAAGCTATCCCTGTAACAGGCCGTGAAGGCCCGTAACGTTGTGAGACGTTGAGGCTCCCACATTATCTAGCCAATCGGCTCAAAGTTGGCGGTAAGATTGCCAGCCTTACGCGCCGGCCACGCTTTACTCTCAAGAATATTCCTGGTACTCATTTCTGTTAGAGGCTCAGTCGACCCCAGGGCCATAGTGCGGCTGGAAGGATTAGGTCAATTGAAAAAAATCCAATGACCTTATCGGGACTTGAACCCGCCACCTTCCGGTTTGTAGCAAAGTACCTCAACCAACTACACTACCGCGTGCCCCCTTGTTAAATACAAGTACTGACATTTTATCAAGTACTGACACATTTTCATTTAAATATATCTACGAGTAATGTCGCTAATAAATAGTTGAAAATTCCCGAGAGAACATGTCGGTAGTTATAAATTGGCACAGGCTCTTCCTGTGCCAAAAATTCGTAAGGGCAACCATATTATCTGCGTTTAGAATCTGAGGACAATTCTGAAGCACACTGTAATTTAGCCATATATAAATATCATAAGAATCAGTACAGTGTATATTTTGATTGTGTAACTAATTTTAATGTGTATTTAGAATTTAAAAATTTCATC